CCCTCCCTGGCTCCTGTTGCTCTCCAGCACCATTTCCCTCTCCCCATCCCCATCCCGCCCCTCTCCCTGCCGCTTCAGGCCGTGCTGGAGCCCCCTGGGATCCCCCGGTGCCGGGGAGCGGTGCCCCCTGCCCAGACGCTCGCAGAGGCCCCACGCACTCATGACACCCGCCGCACAGCCCTGCTGCAGGGCCCTGCTTGTTTTCCCTGTGTCCATGGGGTTTCCAGCCGTTGTCCTCCAGGATGCTGCTGCCCACGGCGGGGCCAGCACTGGGGTGCCGAAGGGTCCCAGCCAGCCCCACGGGCTGCCCCGCGTCCAGCAGCCAGCGCAGGCAGCCCTGCTGGTCTGTGGGGCTCGTGCCACCCTTGGGTGCAGGGCTCGCCCGCGTCCCTCCGCTGTCCATGCCCTGCGCTTGCAGCCGGGAGCTCTGTCCCTGGTACCTGCAGCGCTCACGTGCCATTCTGGCTCCGGGTGAGCTGGCTCTGGCTGTCCAGGGCTGGAGGATGGGATGGGATGGGAGACTCCTCCTGGAGCCCTCTAAAAGAGCCAGTTGAGCCCAAGCCCAGGGGGGCACCTGGGAGGGAGGGCTGGGCTTGGCTGCCCCCAGGGACGTGCAAGGACGAACACGGTCCTGCAGCCCCTGCCACCCTGCCGAGATGGCAGAGATGGGGACATCAGGGCCCTTGACTGGCACCCACGGGCTGCTCTGGCTTGTGCCTCCGTTCCCGTTCTCGTCCCTTTGGGGCGGCTGCAACGTTTCAGCCTGGGGACCGCTGTGTCCCTTGCGGGGGGGGTTGTGCAATTCCCCCCCAGTGCCCAGGGCAGCCCCCAGCCCGATGAGCCCAGGGGCTCTGTGCTGGAGAAAGCGCCCAGGTCGGCCCGGCAGCGCACGTGCGTGCATCAGAACACTTACATATGTATGCATAGTCAGAACACATATATATATATATATATATATATATACACACCTGCATATAGGTAGGGATGCATACTGCATGCTAGGCACAGCGGCGATGCCGGAGCCGCGGCACGGCCTTCGGCAGCGGCGTCTCCGGGCGCCCTTGCTGCAAGGAGGCCGTAAATAGCGGAGGCCCCGGGGGGGCCGCGCCGGAGACGCTCTCCAGAGCCCGCAGTGGAAAATGTGAGAGCGCTTTCCGCCCTGGGCCGGCTGCCAGCAGCACCTCGGGGCACCGATAGCGCGGGTGCCCCAGCCAGCACCTGGGGCTGGCCGCCCTCGCGCCATCCGCCACCTGGGAGCGCCGGAACGGCCGGAGCCAGCGCGGAGGGAGCCGGATGGGGAGACCCGGGATTCGCGGCAGGTTTCAGGCGGATTGGGGCTGGATTTCGGCGAGGGAGGAACCCGGGCAGCGGGTGGAAGAGCCGGAGGGCACCAAGGGCCGGGTGCCCCACGTGGTGGCATCTGCGAGTGGCTGCTGGTGGCCTTTGTGCCCCGGGGCAGGTCCACGCGAGGACGAGGCTGCTCGGCCAAGAACGTGGCCAACGTGCACCTAACGCCTGGCATTGCCACGCAAACCCGAGCAGCGCCCTGGCACTGAGCGAGCAGAGGTTTGTTAGAAATAGCCATTGGAGGCAGGCGGCCGGTGCCAAGGCGGCGCTCGGCCTTGGCGCAGCCCCGGGCCGCGGGTGCCAAGCTCAGCGCCAGGCTGGCACTGCCCGCCCGCCCCGCCGGGGCCTCCCTCATTTCCATGACAATGGCAATGCCAAACGGCCTCATTCCAGGGCAGGAAATAACCCGGGAAGTAATTAGTGCCTCTGCACAATTGCAACGGCGAGGAAGAACACAAAGCCGTGACCCAGTTCGAGCGGGGAAGCCGACGGCCTCTTCCTCCCAGAGCGCCAGAGCTTCCCGCCCTCCACGAAACACGGGGGGAGCCGACAGACCTGCCCCCCCCAGTGCCATCGTCCTCCTTATTAAGCAAAACGTCTGCAAAAAAAACCCTTTATTACGTATGGAAAAGGACAGAAGCTCAGGCCAAACAAGAAAAAACACAAAAAAATATTTACATGACAGTCCAGAAATAACAGTGCCATAGAGGCGGCTCTATGAGAAGCAAAACATTTAATAGAGACGAATACTCCAGTGAAGTACTTCTGAAGGGGGGATTTGCTTCCCGCTTCTGCCGAGGGGCAGGGGCGGCCGCCCGACAGTCCCAGGGAGGCTCGTGCAGAAGGGGAAGCCGCTCTCGGTGCCCGGGAGCAGCCGCGCTGCGAGCGGGAAGCGGCGCGAGGGCCGCGGCGCCGCCGTCCCGCGGGACGCGGCTCCTGCTGCCGGCTTGGGCAGCCGAGGAGCCCGGCGGGAGAAGCTGCTGCTGCTTTCCAAGCCGCGCGTTGGAAGCAGCCACCTACTTTGCACTGGAGCAAAGTCCCACGCGGGATTGGGGATTCCTGCCCGGCCGAGGCCGGGCTCCCCTCCTCTCCGGCACTCGGGAACCTCGGGCGGCACGTGCAGAAAGGTCCAGTTGTTGCCCCGAGGGCACCAAGCGGTCGCAGCCACAAGCAGCTCCCGCCCGAGGATGCCCATGGAGCCGAACACGGGCGCCCTGGCAGGGAGAGGAGATAAAGCTGCCAGCACGGAGATGAACCTGCACAAAGCCGCCTTATCAGAGCCCGCTGGAAAAACCAAAGGTTTAAACCTCAACAGGGCAGAAACTGAGCACTGGGGCTTGCACAGGCATAAAAGACTGTGAAAGGGGAGAGAAAAAAGCCACTAGCACTGAGTTTTCCACGCCTTGCATCTCACGTGTTCAATCTCTGCAGCTGTGCAGCTGTAAAAAGTTTATCTAAAGAGGAGGGGATTGATATAAGAAGATATTTTATAAGATTTAATACACTTAAAAAGTCTGCTCTGCTATTAAAATGACCTTAAAGGGGCTAAAGAATTACCAGGGGCTCCAGCTAGCTAATGGGCGAGAGGGAATGAGAGGGAAGCTCATCAGCGCTAGCTGGGCATGTTATTGCTCCATTGTTCACAAGAAAGGGGGAAGGGAATTCTTGTTTAAATGAATTTAAATTATTTAAAACCACAGAAAACTGGAACTGTAGCCACTTGTATCAAACACTTCTGGAGGAGCTTCATTCAGTAAAAAGATTTTCTGATCTGAGATGTAGTTCTTTGAGCGAGAGCCTGCCAAGAGCTCTGCCCAAAGCAAATTTACAGACCAGTTTGGACCAGGGGTTTAAAATCTTTTAAAATTCAAAATATGTCATCCTCATCAGACTCCTCGAAGTATTGCATGGGTTTTTTGAGACGTCCAGGCCTTGTTCGGGGGGCAGCCACTATGGGACTGTCTGCATCAGCAGCTAAATCCACAGAATAGCTATCATCGTCTTCCACCTTGGATTTCTAGAGGAAAAACACAGGCGAGAAAAGAGTATAATTTAGAAATGAGTAAAAACAGGCTCAGCATAAAATTCAGCTGCCACTGGTAAGGCTGCTGTTCATGCCGACTAGACCAAACCTACAGCCTGGGATAAGCCCACGGGCTGCACCTCCCTCCCAACCCATCACCTTTGCTATCCCAAGAAGTCCGTCACACAGGACGTTCTTCCAGAAGAAACCCAAAGAAACCCTGTAACACACACTACGGTCCCCTTCCCAGCCCTCAAAGGTCTTGTATCCCCCCAAAACAACATGATAAAACCACAAAAGCTCGGCTATGACGCGCGGCAGAGCACAGACCTTAGCTGCAACTGATTTGGAAGGTTTCGAGCCAAAATCTGAATCCGAATCGGAAAAGCTTGGGCATCTTTTGGTAACTTTCCGCCCCTTGGTCTGGCCAGGCTTCTTGGGAGCCACCGTTGCAGCATTAGGATCTAAGGATTCCTCCTTCGCTGTCGTCTTGCTGGATTTTGGAGCAGCTTTTTTCTTGGTTAGGATATCCATGATGGATGGCTGGTTACCTGAAATAGAACTCGTCATCTGAACCTGTGTTTTGCTACGATTTCCTCATTCACAGACCTTACCTCCAACCCAAACACAGCTCTG